GTTCTCAGCTGGGGCTTGCTTTTCCCCTGAGGCTGGTCCAGAAAACACTGCAGAGCACGAACTGAACTGTTTCCCACCTCCGAGGACCCTAATCTCCAAACATCTGCCTTTAATCCTGGGGACAGGAAAAGAATTCAGAGGTGCCAGACACAGTTTAAAAACCCAAATGACACTCCTCGCTTCTTGTGTCTTACTGTCTTCTGGGTAATAAAGGGCCTGATTTCGAGGTGCTCAGCCTAGATGGGTTACCTCTAAAAAATGGGGGGTTTCAGTTCACACCTAGGGCATTCGGAGGTAAGTTGGCAACCTCCAGGGTTCCCAAGCCACATGTATGAAGTGCTGGAATCCACAAGCATCCAGTTCCCTCTGGCCTCAGCCCTGGCATGTATGTGAACACCTTGGGCTGTTTCTAAATGAGACCTTGGTTCCTGTCCCTCATCTGGATGTAGTAATAAGACTTCTGGCCTCCACTCTTCCCGCTTTCCCCAAATTCTGGCCAAATGGGACAGGGTGTCTTGCTGAAGATCATCCCAAGCTCTCCTTTGCCCTTAGAATGAAGTCTAAGAGGCCATGCATGTGGCAAACATAGCTCCACACTAACAGTTCTCAAGAGCACAGACTTTGAGTTCAGGTACACCTGAGTTTGGATGTTCAGGCGGATCCAGTGTTGAGTCCAAGATCTTGAATGATTTTCTAAGTCTCTGGAAGCCTCTGATGGAAATTGTAAAGAAACAAGTTTTGGAATTAATTTTAACAACCAAGTTGCCTTCCTTCCCTTGCATGTAAAATGGTGACAATGAGACCTATTATAAAGTACTATTGTAAGGCCTTTGCACTTAACCCAGGACTCGGGATAGAGTGAGAGGTTTGGAAGTCAACACACGGAATGAAGGTGGGGAAGGTGGTGGGGAGGAGGTGGCTCCCAGGACTCAGAAAGATGATGAGACCAATTTTGGACATGCTGAGAGCAAGGGGCCTATGTGTGTCCAAGGGAGGCATTTAGGGCAGAAAGGAGATCTTGGTTGGAGAGCCGAAAGTGTGGCCAGCATGCAAGCAAGATGTGCGCAGGGCAGGGCAGGAAGAACATGAGATCTCCACAGCCAGAGGCTCACCATGAGGAGGACAACCTGGTGAAGGAGGCGCAAGGAGAGGCAGAGAGGTAGGAGGAAACCAGCAGCAGTGGCTGTGCAGGGGAGACAGGGCTTGAGGCCATCAAAAGAGGCCAGCAGGGCAAAGGCTTCAAGGAGGCCAAGTTAGAAGGCAGAGATGGGTCTATGGGATTTGGTGACTAGAAGGTCATTTAATGGTGACATCTGTGAGGTCAGGATGGGGAGCTGACCCTGGGCTGCAAAGGGGGAGGGGAAAGTGGAGAAAGTGATTGTTGACAACTTTAGAGAAATGTGGTTGAGAAAAGAAGGAGACCATGTGAGAACAATGCCTGAGGAAAGGACTCTAGGATTGAGGTTACCAACAGGAGAGGCCAGAGCCAGAGTTGCTGCTGGGATACAGCCAGTTGTTTATTGTTCTTGTCTTCAGCAAGACACCCTGTCCCATTTGCCCAGCACAGGGCCCGAACCCATTAGGAAGTCAATAAAAATTTGTTGTCAGATGTGGTGGTGCAGACCTGTAATCCCAGAAGCTCACGAGGCTGAGGCAGGAGAATGGTAAGTTCAAAGCCAGTCTGGGCAATTTAGTGAGATTGTCTCAAAAAATAAAAAGGGTTAGGGATATAGCTCAGTGGTAAAGGACCCTTGGGATTGACCCTCAGTACTGGAAAAACTAACTAAATAAATAAATTTGCTGTCCTTCAGGAGGGGGCATGATGGGGTCTAGAGCACGTGCAAGGTCTGGCCATTGGCAGGAAGAGGAGCCCCTTTGTCATTATGTCAGATGTGAGCAGAATGCAGGGCAGGCTCCTTGGGATTCTGTTGCCTCTGAGCTGGACCACAGAGGAAGGACGAGGTGATAAATGAGTGCCTGGCTCCAAAAACCCAGGATAGAGAATCTAGTATGAACACTCTTGGAGACTGCCACTTGGCACCCCCAACTAGGGACTTCTGTTCCTTCATCCTCAAATCCAGGGCTCATTGCCTTTATCCCTTCACAGCTGTACCCTCTCAATGGGCCAGCAGATGGTGCCCGTGAGCTGCTGGACTCTGCCAGAGTAGACCAGAGCCAGCCAGTCTGCCCTGGACCCTGAGTCCTCCAGATCCTGGGGCATGCTAAGGGTTAAGCAGTTTCTGACAGGTTGGGAAGTTAGGACAAAAGACTAAGGAAGATGTGAGCTGAGGACTTGGGGCGGGGTGGCTCCAGGGGCTCCTTCCTTCTGGTTGCCCTTCATTCCTCTTTCCTCCCAGGCCTCACCTTATCTGTGAGGGTTCCTGCCCTCTGCCCCCCTTCCATTCTCTTCCAGGGAGGCCCCAACCAGCCCAGACTCCTGGTTCTGGCAGAGGCTGGTTGTCTGCCCCTAGGCAGGCACGACCTGGCACCAGCCTCAGACAGGGCTGGGCCAGCCCCTCCCAGTTATGACTGCCTGAATCACCCTCTACTTCTAGAACACCTCCACCTGATGAGGGGAATGGGTCAGTGGCCAAGGAGGCCACAGAAGGTTGAAGCACAGATCTTGGGAAGGAGGAAGAATGGCCTCCTGGTCTAAGAAGGAAATGAATTAGGAAGGTGTATAATAATGTGGCAGATAATCTAGTCTGCAACTGAGATCTCACAAGGCTATTGGTTCCACCTGAGGTGGCACAGTGTCCTAGAAGCTGAACTGAAAATACCCCCTTCCTATCTTAGCGATCCTATACTCCATATCCAAAGGCCAAGCCAGTCTCTCCCCATCGTGGTCTTTCTGATGAATCAAAGTCCTTCATGATTCCTTCAAGGGACAAGGTAGGACCCTGCTTCTCAGTCTCACCTTCACCTTTCTTATCTGCCTCCATCCCCCAACCCTTCCATTTTTGTTCTGGCAAGCACTGGCACTATCTATGTGGCCTTCACCTTGAAAACTCCCCAAGATACCCCCTTCTATCTCCTTCTCTGATTCCCAAGTGGAAGGCCTTAATGGTCTGAGGCTGAAGAAACTATAGTCAGATTCTCAGTGGGGTGGCTAGAACTGGGAGGGGTGGGGGGTTCTGACCAATGCACATTCTACAGCTCAGAGCAGGAAGCCAGGCCAAGATGGGTATATACCTCTGAGCCTGGGCTATGCATACAGGGCAGTAAGAGTCAGTGGATTTGGATAAAGTATATTTCTCTGAGTTTCCAGAAGCAGGATGACCCAGACTTGAGAAGAGGAAGTTACCAGAAACACACATATCTCTCTATCTGTCTCTTAATCTCTCTCTCTCTCTCTCTCTCTCTCTCTCTCTCTCTCTCACACACACACAAACACACACACACACAGAGAGAGAGAGAGAGAGAGAGAGAGGAAGGATCATGGCTTAGGGAACCACACAACCACATGGTACAGAGAAGCCATGGAGCCCCAAAGACATAAGTACATACAAACACAGGCACACAAGGTAAATGTACCCAAGGTCAGGCGTACACACCCTCCCCAGGAAACTCCTGCCTCCTAGGGCAGGTCTAGTCTGCCATCCATACTTCCAAAAGGAGGGAAAGGTAGAGGAAGAGGAGTGGCTTTGGGCAGAGATGGGTCCTCCACTCAGAGCTTCTTCCCTTGGCCTGGCCCCCAGCCCCTCCCTGTGATCTCCCTGGCCCACTAGGAGCCAAGTCTGGGTGCAGAGAAGGCTTTGGAGGGGGCATTTTCATAGAATCCTGGCACAGAGCCTGGGCGCAGGAGAGAGAGAGACAATGAGCAACAGGGTTAGGAGCTGTGATAAGGAGTCTATAACCTTCTCCCAGGACCTATAGAGAACAGCAGGAGGCACTGGACAAGGCCTGGAGGCTCACAGGGAGACAAGGACCCCCTCTGCAGTGGCTTGCAACTTCTCTCCTCAGCAAAAGGCCTGGCACCCAGGTACTGGCACCAACTCCCAGTCCCTGGCAGAGCTTTGGCATGAAGCTAGGCACAGGGTGCCAGACACAGGGGTGGGCAGGGGGGGGCACCAGGCCACACACAAACGAGGACCTTCATACACACAGGCATGGATATGCACCCACACACCACTTATTTTATCTCCTGGGGATTCAAGGGAGAAGGGCAGGGACCACCCTGTCCTAGAGGCTGCACTCACTGACTCTGGGGGTGTTCCCATTGACTTGGCTCTTGCAGGGGGAGGGAGAAGAGGAGCACAGGTAAGACCTGGAAGCTTCCTCTGGTCCTCCACCCACCCCCACCCCCCAAACACATGTACTTGAGTGGCATGAGGTGGCGTTTGTGCATCCCCAGAGTTGGTCCTGGATGGAAGAAGGAAGGAGGGAAGGTCACCTCTTTTCCCTCAGCCCCTGCCCCAGGAGGATTTTGTGACCGCAAGCTACTCATGTGTGAGTGTGCGTTAGGGCATGCATGCCTGGGACCTTCGGCCCGCACACAGTGTGCTGATGCGGGTGTGGCAGGCGGTGGCCAGGCGAGGGCGGACTGGTTCGCCGCTGAATTCCGCCAGACTACGGCGGTACTATCAATGTGGAGAGCCTGAATGGAGTTTGTGTTTGTCCTCAGGTGTCCCGAGCAAGTGTGAGCAGGATGTGCTCACCTGGGCGCGGCGGCTCATGGCCCTGGGTGCGTTCGTGGGTCTCAGGGGTGAGAGGATGCAGGGCACAGGAGCTGGGCCCAAGGGCCCTTTACTCAGCTCAGCCCTCGGCAAAAGTCTCCTCCTCGCGCAGCAACTTAGGACTTTGTTCTGGCTTCTTCGAAAGCGGATCTGGCGGAGAGGGAGGGAAGGGTGGGCGGGGGGGATGGGGGAAACACCTGCCCAGCGGGGGGTGCAGGACATGAAGTGAAGAAAAGCCCCACCCCCGCCCCGCCTCCGCCCCGCCCTCTTCCCGCCCCCGGGGTTCTTTATAAGCTGGGTCCGAGGGCCAGCAGAGAAAGTATCCCTCCCGCCCCAATCTGGTGTACCCCTGCACCCTGCGTCCCGGCCCCGAGTCCCTCTCCTCGCTCCCAAGTCCAGCCCTCGCCCCGCCCCGGCCCAGCCGCCATGGAGCGCTGGCCTTGGCCGTCGGGCGGCGCCTGGCTGCTCGTGGCGGCCCGCGCGCTGCTGCAGCTACTGCGCGCAGACCTGCGTCTGGGCCGCCCGCTGCTGGCGGTGCTGGCGCTGCTGGCCGCGCTCGACTGGCTGTGCCAGCGCCTGCTGCCCCCGCCGGCTGCACTCGCGGTGTTGGCTGCCGCCGGCTGGATCGCGTTGTCCCGCCTGGCGCGCCCGCTGCGCCTGCCGGTGGCCACTCGCGCGGTGCTCATCACCGGTGAGTGCGCGGAGCGCGGGGAATCCAGGCTAGAGGGCGGGACCGCACACCTAGAGGGTTCCCCATGGGCATGGCCAAGGCGGGCTCCCCAGCCCAGGAGAGAGAGTTCCCCTTCCCTTGGGTGTTAGGGATCAAGCCAAGTAGGAAGCGCTGAGCACCTCCCCAAGTCTGGGAAACTACCTGCCGCTCCAGGGAGTGTTGGAAAGAAAGTGAGCTAGGGAGTAGGCAGGTGCTCAAAGGAAACCGTGACTGAAAAAAGGGGAACCTTCTGGAGTTTGGGGAGTTTATGCTGTGTGCCCCTGTGAAAAAACAGTCGTGTAGCAGGGAATAGAGCTCTGAGGGACTTCAGAAGACACAAGTTGGAGGAGAGTCAGTCATCCATTGAACTCTGCCTGGTATCTCCGTGTGGGACGTTGTCGCATGTTCTGTTCCCTGGGGGCAGAGGAAGGAGCTTAGAAGGAAACTGCACTGACTGGAATCCTTGAAGTTCAGAAAATCTTGAGGTCACCCTGAGGAAAAACTGGGCATTCAGCTGCCTCTTAGGTCTAACCACCTACCGGCAACCTTCTGAGATAGCAAGAGTCTGCACCCCGCATCTCCCCTCCATCCTGCCTGGTCCTCAATGCCCAAAGAGGTCCTGGAGAACAAGGCTCAGGTGCCTCTGGCAGCCTGACTGAATTTTCTTGGTCTGGAGTGGGGAATAAATCCATCACTTGAGCAAGGGAAGGAAAAGGAGGTGCTCAACCACAAGTGGAGATGGGGAGAAAGGCCTGGGGGCCCTGGCCCATTGTATGGGGACAGGAACAACCTACTTTCTCCCTTAACCAACAAGGCTGTGGACAGGTACTCTGGGCTCTTGCATTGGGCCTGTCCTGAGGACACCTAGCAAACTGGCTTCTCAGAGACCCATTAGGGGTCCTGCATGATAAATGGGACTGGGAGAACTCTGGAGGAAATCCTTGAGCTGGGTCTCAGAGGACGCAGGGAGAATGGTGAAATATGAAAGGTGTCTGGGTCAGAGAAAGGGTGTGGGACAAAGGTTTAAGGCAAGAATAAGTATGACCTGGGTAGGGGACAGTCAATAACCAGTCTGGCTACAGGGATGTTATGGGACGTGAGATTTCCTTGGAAGAGGCCTTGGATAGCAGGTAAGAAGCTAGACTATGCTGAGGTGGGGAGCGATGGAAACTGGTTAGAGGGTTTTGGGCTTTAGCAGAGGTAGAAATGGAGTAGAGCTCAGGCCAAATGGTAGAGACCCAATTCGGGGTGTAGTGTGAAGATTCAGGGGACCCAAGTTTCAGGGGTTTGAGGAAAGAAAGCCATCAGATCCTCCTAGCATGAAGCAGGAACTAAGTTATAGGCTCTGCCCTCAGGGACCGGGCAGATCTCCTCCTGCCTTCTAGTTTGTGAGCTGCCTCAACAGGACCCAGGCCATCTGCAGGTATTAGAGGCCCTACTGGGCAGTCTTTCCTGAGATTGACCTCAGGTTTTTATGATGCTGCTGTGGATTCTCCTAGCCTTAAGGCTGAGAGAGGTGAGAGAAGGACTGCCCTCTGAGACCTGGATTCCCTCCATCCCTGGTTCAAAACTTCCACCTCCTGTAGCACTGATTTCCTGCCTTCCCAGTGCCTTCACATCTGGCATTTCCTCAGTCAAGATCAGGCTACAAGACACTTAAGTGACCAGGTCCTGCCCTACCTAAGAGCACTGTATCTTATGCCTGCCAGTACTGCCACCCACTCCTCACTGCTTGCCAAAAACTACTTCATTAGTTCTGCTATGGGTTTGGGGTTTGGGCTGGGTGCCTATATGCAAACTCATGTGCTAATGGGTGACAGGGGTAAGCCTGTGTGTGAACATCCAGGCAGATTGGAGGTACTAAAAGTTACCCAGTGTAATGTATGCTGGTAAGAAGGTGTGTAAAATATAGGTGACTATGTTGGGACTCCATCGCTGAGGTTCTGGGAGGGTTTAGTTTTCCTATGGAGGGCCTGTCTGCTTTGGGAGGGAGCTGAGGAAAATGTATGCAGGCATGATCCCCCCCAAAAAACTCTCTTTTCCCCTCCCCCTTTCCTCTCTCCTCCCCCAGCTAGACTTGTCTTTGAAGGACTCCCCAGCATGAGTTGGTGGGCGCCCAACTGCACAAAGCCCAACTTGCAGCCCCCAGCCCAGCTTTGTTCTCTGCCTCAGCAGAGGGGGTAGGGATGAAATGAGGGGTACTGAGTGTTCAGGACAAGCAGAACTGCTTTGCAGCTTTTCTGCTCAGCAGGACAACAAGGGGGGATGTCCAGAGGGCCTTCTCCTTCCTTGGCCCTCCCCCTCCCCTTACTGGCTACCCACAGAGCCAGAATCAGAATCAAGAAGCAGGGGGTTATCGGGTACCCACAGACCCCCTCACTGGCCCTACCTGGTGGCTCTTCTCTTTGTATACCAACCAGAAGAAATTAAGCCTCCAACAGTGGTAACTGATGTCCAGTCATATTCTGTGGGATTGGGAAGGGATTCAAATGCAAGTCTGTTCTCAATCTACCTTGGTTCCCTTTCTGGGGGCAAACAGTCTGGGGTTCAGAAAATCATGACCCAACTGTTGTCATGATTGGAATTGCAAGGGTTGCGGGAGGGTACCGAGGATGAGGTGAGGATATGTTTCCAGCTTACCTAGAGCCTCAAACAATAGTTGAAACTGGTATTGGAGAGAGTCTCAGGTTGGACAGAGCCTGATGGATGATACCAGAGAGCTTGGGCTTCATCTTGAGGACTCTGGGGAGCCTTGTGAAAGTTTTCAGCCACAGAGTGATTATCATTTTTGGAAAAATCCCTCTGGCTACTTAAGGAAAGGATGAATTCAGTGAGCTAGAAGGGACTAAATGATTGAGGATGCTGCTTCAATTTCCAGTTAAAGGAAGGAAGGGCAAGGTTCTCAGAGTAGGGAGTCAGGTAGGAAGGGAAACTGTACAGTAACTGCATGCGAGCTAAGGCTTAACATCAAGCAAGCAGGAGGACATCAGGGATGGTACAGGGTCTCAGGCAACCTGGGATAGAATCCTGACCTTATTCTGTGCTGGCTACGTAATTTCAGGAAGCAAATTAGCATTACTAAGACTCAGTTTCTTCTGTAAAGTCAGGGACAAAAGCCACATTTGGTGGGGTAGCTGTCAGGAGATAGGAAAATGATAGCTGTCACAGAAGGACAAAGCCTACCAGAAGTGGATATAGGGAAGGAGAGCAGGCTGTTAGCTAATACTGAGTTGAGTGTCTAAGAGCCTGGGTCCCACCCAGACCCCAGTGATCTTCGGGTTGTCTTGGGGCTGGACTGTGTCACCAAGAGAGTTCACTAGCTGCCCTGCCCTGGCCAGGCTGCGACTCTGGTTTTGGCAAGGAGACGGCCAAGAAACTGGACGCCATGGGCTTCACGGTGCTGGCCACCGTGTTGGAGTTGAATAGCCCCGGCGCCCTAGAGCTGCGTGCCTGCTGTTCCCCTCGCCTAAGGCTGCTGCAGATGGACCTGACTAAGCCAGCAGACATTAGACGTGCGCTGGAGTTCACCAGGGCTCACACCACCAGCACTGGTCAGTTGGCATTGCTCCACAGGGTAGGGCATGCCTGGGCGGGTGTGAAAGGGACAGGGATTTAAAATTTGCTACTGGACTGACCTGAGGCTTCTCTCCCTGCCTTCATGTCTGCAGGCCTGTGGGGCCTGGTCAACAATGCAGGCTTCAACGACATAGTAGCCGACGTGGAGCTATCTCCAGTGGCCACATTCCGCACCTGCATGGAGGTGAATTTCTTTGGTGCATTGGAGCTGACCAAGGGCCTCCTGCCGCTCCTACGCCACTCAAAGGGTCGCATTGTGACAGTGGGTAGCCCAGCAGGTGAGAGCCCTCCCCCTCTGGAGGGCAGATAGGGATTTGGGGAAACCCTGGCAAAGGCTAAGCTGCCTCACTGTGCCCCTTTTATCCCTAGGAGACATGCCATATCCATGCTTGGCAGCCTATGGGACCTCCAAGGCAGCCATGGCACTGCTCATGGACTCATTCAGCTGTGAACTGCTTCCCTGGGGGATCAAAGTCAGTGTCATCCAGCCTGGCTGCTTCAAGACAGGTGAGGATCGGGGCTATGGATGGGGCACGCATGGGGTCTGGTACAGGAAAACAGGTGGGCATAGTCTTATGGGAGCAGGGACAGATCTGAGGAATGGACTTGGCTTTGGCTAGAGGAAACGTGGTTAAATAGACTGTTAGCCTTTGGTTTCCTAGCCAGCCTCCCTCTGACCTTGCTACCTGCTCCCCAGAGTCAGTGAGAAATGTGAGCCAATGGGAACAGCGCAAGCAATTACTACTGGCCAACCTGCCCCAAGAGCTGCTGCAAGCCTACGGTGAAGACTACATCGAACACTCGCATGGGCAGTTTCTGCATTCGTTGAGCCTGGCCCTACCTGACCTCAGCCCGGTTGTCGATGCCATCACTGACGCGCTGCTGGCAGCTCGGCCACGCCGCCGCTATTACCCAGGCCGTGGCGTGGGGCTCATGTACTTCATCCACTACTACCTGCCAGAGGGCCTGCGGCGCCGCTTCCTGCAGAACTTCTTCATTAATCCCTGTCTTCCCAGAGCACTGCGGCCTGGCCAGGACACACCCCAGGCCCTAAAACCCAACCCAAACCCTTCCCCGGTGGCAGCTCGGTGAGCTCTGTGTATATAAGGCCTAGCTGCTCCAGCATAGGAGGCTCTGTGAGCCCTTGGCTCTTCCCTGGCTATTATGACCCCCCCGAAGCCTATCCTAGAGCCTAGCCTAAACCACCCCAGCCCTACCCACTGCAGATGCCCAGTCCAGGCCCAGAAGGCTGAGGTTTTCCAGTGAGCTTCTGGGCCTCTCTAATGCTTCATGAGCCTACAAAGACACCTCTTGGGCACAGTGTTCCACCCTTCAGCTTGGAGAACCCAGTTGAATGGGGAGTTTAGTGCACGATTTAGCTGTAGCCTTTGACAGGACCCTACAAACAGTACCTCTGCAAATTAAGGAGTGACTGGGTGATTAGGGACCCCTCCAGGATTGTTTCTCAGCACCCGTGCCTCAGTGGTGCAAATCCATGGTTAAATTCCAACTGTCTCTTGACCAACTCAAGAATTGGAAGCCCAGCCTCTCTCCCCAAGCCATAAGGAACTGCATACCCAACTTGCCCAATTGCTACTTTTTAAATAAAGACAAAATTTTATTTCTCCTAGAATGGGGGAGATGTACTGTTTGGAGGAGGTGACTGGTTGCCTGGGTAATAGGGTGTGGCTGCCTAGCAGATTGGGAACAGCCTGGGGAGCTCTTGGGGCTCAGCATGGGGGCCAGGGCTCTGGGCACAGGCCTGACTGGGCTCCCCTGGCACATTCTGTGGTTCACACCCTACCTCCTCTGTTGACCTCAGGCAAATAATTTATCCCTAGATCTGAGTTTCCTCATAGTGAACTGAGGAGAATAATGATGGCAGGGAGTTATAGGGCTCAGTAAAGCAATTAGGGAGGCATGTGGGTCCAACAGGGCCAAGACCCAGCTCTCCAGGCCCATCTCTGAATTTGAACTTCCGGCAGAAGAAGGGGCTATCCTCCAGGGACTTCCCTGATCCTGAGGAATCTGGGCTGCTGACTGCAGTGGTGGGCTGAGCAAGGGTGTGGTTTTGAGGGAAGTTGGGGGTCTTGGAGAGATATCAGGGTCCAAAGGAGGCAGCAGACAATGGACTTAGAGAGGGCAGTTTTATTGTCTCAGAGGGGCAGAGCTACTTCCTCCATGCCCCAGGGACACACACACACACACACACACACACACACATATACACACTCTATCCTTTCCATGACTATGGGAGTGACCCTCAGAGGAGATAGCAGGCTCACACTGCTCCCACAGGTTCTCAGGTTAGGAAGGGGCATGAAAGTGACTACATGCTTCTCAGACATGTCAGTAGCTGTAAACATAGGGTTGAGAGGACCTCATTGCTCTGGAGGGGGTCTTGGTCCATTCTTGGTTAGGAGGGAGGTGCCCAGCCCCTTTTCAGGCCTGAAAGCAGTCCCAGAGGGAGTCAATAAAGCTGGGTAGCCCCTAGGACAATGTGCTACCTGTCCCCAGGGCAGGCAGGTGAGCCATGGGCTTTGTCACAGCACACACAGATATACACAGTGCACTTAGGAGCCTTGGGTCAGGATGCTAGAAGATAGGGATGTAATTGTCGATCTTGGCGCGGTGGCGCTGGGCAATACACTCAGCAATCCACACAATGTTGCGACACTCCTGCTCCTTGAGCTTCACAAAAGCATAGAAGACACCAAAGTGGAACTGGTTCAAGAAGGCCAACTTGTTCAGCTTCACCTGAGGACAAAGGCAGGTGTGGTATACATGGCCATGGCCAGACTCAGGCTTAAGCCACCAACCCCTCCCTATGCCAGGCAGGACCTGAAAGAGCCCCATGCTTACCTCGTGCTCGAAGAATCGGTCCTCCAGGGTCTTGTCTCCAGGGTTGCTGCCTGCACCCTCGAAAAGCAGTTTGTATTCCTGGCCAAAGAGTCGGGGGAAGCACAAGCATGAGAGTGCTGCTGGGTACTGGAGGGGTATGAGATGCTAACAGGCCTACCCATCATCCTCCCAGCCAGGGTACTCACTGGGTAGTAATCGGCCACGTTCTTGACCTGCTCATAGTCATCAGCCCTAGCCAGCTGAGCCAAGCCCTCAGGGTAGAGGCGCCCGCAGTGCGGGAAGAGCTTGGCACGGTCCTCCTTGGATAGCTCTGTGCCAAAAGAATTGATGGTGATGATGAAGGCGCGGCGGTCTGCTTCAAACTTCAGGGCAAGTGCAAAAACACAAAAAGAAAGGGAGGAAGAGGAAGATGTAGTCAGTCAGTTGGCAGAACTTCCTCCAGGGCTAGTGGGGACCAGCAGGCAGGAGGGTGGGCAGGCACTCACCTCCAGAATGGGGCACATGGCATCAGCTGTGGTTCCGCCCAGTAAAGTGCAGAACTTGTAAAAGGACTCCAAGTAGGCCTGTGTAGAGCATGGAGCTTCCTCAATGCAAGCAGGGAGACTCTGGGTGCTTGTTAGGCCCCTACTCACAGCTCCCTCCTCCCCTCCTCAGCCCCTTTCATGATAGGGATTGGTCAGGAAACTTTAGAGCAGAGCTCCTAAAATATCAAGCAATTCTAACAGTTAATCAGCAGGCAGGAGAAGCCCACTGCCTTCTACCCAGGAGTGACAGAACAGTTTCTGACTAACAGTCTGCTTCAGGGTGCATATCTCCCACCCCCTCATCTCACAGAAAGCCAGGTTCAGAGGGACCTCCCTCTTCTTCCTGCACTTCTGCCTTCCCCTTCCCCAAATCTTCCAAACCTCCTCTTCCTGAGTCTCAGAAAGGTTTCCATGGGCTATGGAGCAAAGGTTACTCCTGAGAGTTCAAAGAGATGGCTTGAACTGAATCCCTGGGCCCTTGCTGCATCCTACCTTGCAGAACACCAGCCCCCACCCCACCAGCCCCTAAGCATCACAAAGCAGGAACCAAATTGTCAGTATAGTTCCTGCTGAAGGATGGTTATTGCCTATGTAGACGTCAGCCTCCCAGTGCAATGGCTGGGCATGTAGGCTGCTGGTGGGAACAAGCACTTCCTGCCCAGGCAAATTTGATCTGTTGGGCAAAAGGAAAGGACAGGTCATCCCAGGTCCCAAGTCCCTCCCAATACTAGCTTATAAAGGCTTCTTCTCCCACACCTCTCCACAGTCTTGCAGATTCCATGGGTAGCTCTCTTGCATGGGTACTCTTCACTCACAGCCCTGGGGTCCCATCTTTATGGCGTGGTCACAGAGACTCTGACTTTACAGGGTAGATCCAATTCTGCTAAGTTACGGAAGGGACTTGGACCCCCAGGCTCCACTATTCCAAGAGAAACGATCCAAGACCCAGAACTCCATAAGGACCCAGGCTTAATCTGGCTGGCAACACTGGACAGGCTGGGCTTGGGGAAGCGCCTGAGGGTGACCAGTAGGGTCATAGGAGGGAAGAAACAAACAAACCAAAAAAAAGGACTGGAACAGGTCAGGAATAAGAAGCCCAGAAGAAGAGTAGAATCCAGGTCAGAGAATTGCCAGGAGTCAGACAGCCTGGGGATAAAGACAGCTCCCAATCTCTACCATAGCCTGGTGTTGCTTTTCAGTCCCTCCACAAGTCAGTCCCCTGTGGCCTTCCCTGTGGCCAGTCTAGCTGGTTGTGCTGAAATCCTGAGGCCTACTCCAGTGGGGCCCACAGTTCCTATTTGTGGGGGAAGCCACCAGCCAGGTCTTGGGCTCCATGCCCAGCTGCCACCTATTTGCTTGGCCAAGCTGTATCGATCCCTGGAGAGGTTGAACCCAGAGTTGAGAAGGCTGGTAGGATAGGCCTAGACTCTCCTTTGAAGGGTAGGGTAGCTAAAGAAACTGGTAAGACCCAGGTACCAAGGTCACCTCTCCCCCACACCCTGTCTCCTGGAGTCTGCCAGCCCATGGCTGCTGCACCAGCTGCCTATAGTTCCCACCTGCCAGGCGGCTAAGGGTCCACCTAATCTCCCATCTGTGGTCATTGGGCTGGGACATTGCCTGACGAGCAGGAGGTCCTGGCACAGAGCCCAAAGTGTTAGGTTAGTGTTTATGAGCTGATGCTTGGGCAGCCTTTGCAGGTGACTCCAGCTAGAACCAGTCAGGCCCAGTGAGGGTGTGGGTGAGGCTGGGGGGACAGCCACACCCCTTATCCTGTCTCAGGGCAAAGAACCGGCAACAGGCCAGCTGGGTAGGCGGGCACACTAGGAATGTGTTCTCTCTCTCTCTTGGCTGCCTGGGCTGGCTGGCCTCCCTGTTCACAGGGTGGATGAGAGTCCTCACTTTAGCAAACAGGCTGAGCCAGGTGTGATCCCTGGTACTGCCAGTGACTTACTGTGTGGCTTCAGACAACCACCTTACTTTGCTGAGCCTTCAGTTTTCTGATTTTATAAATGACAACAATAATGTCTACTGACTGCTAGAGTAGTCCTGAGTTTGAAAGTTGTGGATGATCTTCCTATCTCTAATGTGCTCTCCACACTATAGCCAGAGAGGGCTCTCTGAGTACATTACTCTGCTGGAAATCTTTGCTAGCTGACCTTATGCATGGGATAAAGTTCAAACTTTTGGCCTAGCATTCAAAGCCCTGGGTGACTTGACCCTGTGCCTGCCTCTTCCTCCAGCACCTCCCCACTGTCTGCACTTCCCACCTGTCTGTGCTCTGTGCTTTCCTTCTGTGTATACCATTTCCCTGTACCATCATGACCTCCAGGCAGACTAGGGCACTTGGACTCAGGCTGTGCCAAATGTTATCCAGCCAGTTCCAATCAGAGAAAGAGAGGACCCTTACCATGGAGACTAGACAGACACATGCTCTCAGGGTTAGGTCAGCAAGTCCCTTGGCCAGGGTCATCCCCAGCTCCACTTCAAGGACTGCCCACTGTTGATCCATGTTCCTGACTATAGTCCATCAAGAGTCTTGGCACTACAGCCCAGTACCTCATCACAGCCAGAGCCCAGCCTGTCCCAAATATCCCTAATGGTCCCTAGCTCTTAATCTCTTTGGACCAGGGCAGTGCTGGCCCAGTTCATCCTCTATCCCCAGAATCAGCCATAGCCTAGTGGAAAGCAGAAGGTGGGATGTGGCATGACTCTAGTCTGGGAACCTGAAAGGCTCAAAAAGACCTCCCCTCCTACTATCATAACTGAGCATACCACTGCCTTTGTTCAAGCACCTGTCCTGGCTGGCAATAGCTGAGATGGGGTAGGTCTGAGGGCTACGATCTGGGTAGTAGCCTGTGACCCTCCTAAATGCTGGGAGACCAGCAGTCCAGGAGCCAGCTCTAACAGGCCAAGTGGTAGAGTGCCAGCCACTCCTGCTGATCTTATCTGAGCCTGCCGCAGGCACCACAGGATGGAGAGCCTGTTCCATGCAGCTCTGCACCCATCACAGGAACAAGAGAGAAAGCTGATAAGAGTCTGGTGCAGCTGTGTCCTTCCCAAAACCTCACATAAATCACCATCCTACCATACCCACAGCCCCACCCACCAACAGGTTAATCCTTCACTGCTCATGTGCAGTAATACCTTGTAGAGTGTATTGCGGATAATCTCGATGTTCATCTC